AAAAAAAAAAAAAAAAAGAAAAGAAAAGAAAAGAAAGGCGACTTACAAAATTAAGATATTTTCAAAGTTAAAATGTAAAAATTAAAATTAAATGTTAAAATATTTAGAAACATCAAGTTCTTAAAAAATTAAATTAGGAATTGGACAACACAAATTTATGTCCACAGCAAATGTTATTAAAGATTGCTGGTAACTTAGAATCATTACCCAAGAGAGAAATCTCAATCAAACTGTCTGAAAAATAGTCTCAAGACAACTGAAAATCAGATATTAAAGTGAATATACAGACAGGAATGAAAAGGATAAAAGTGAAAGCATCTAAGACACTGTGGTCAAAGATAATCAAATTTCAGAGGATACTTTTGCTAATGCTAATTAAGGCTGAAAGGTAAGAAACCCTATCCTCTCTACCTGTTTTTTTTCCATCTGAGAAAGCAGACCTTAACGACACTAAAGATTAAAAGAAGAATCCAAGCTAGACAGATTTCTTCTGGCAAGCTCCAATCGCAGATTTGAGGAGTGAAGTGTCTTTTAGAAGGGTCTCTCCCTAAGACACTAACATCCTAGATTTCTCCCCGCAGCTGGCAGCTGGGTAGGTAGGTACATAATACTTTGAAACTGAACTATAAACTAGCACTATGAGCCGGGTGCAGTGGCTCACACCTGTAATTCCAACACTTGGGGAGTCAAAGGGAGGTGGATCACGAGGTCAGGAGTTCAAGACCAGCCTGGCCAACATGGTGAAACCCCATCTCTACTCAAAATACAAATATTAGCTGGGTGTAGCTATATGTGCGTATAGTCCCAGCTACTTGGGAGGCTGAGGCAGGAGAATTGCTTGAACCCTGGAGGCAGAGGTTGCAGTGAGCCGAGATTATGCCACTGTACTCCAGCTTGGGTGACAGAGTGAGACTCTGTCTCAAAAAATAAATAAATAAATAAACTAGCACTATCATGAAATCTCTTGTGAATAGTTTGTAAATGTGATCCAAAAGTAATTTTCTGCTGAAAATAGTTTTTCCCTACTTTTCTTAAGAAGGTGTGTTAAGTCTTTTACAGCCAGTCTAATACAAGAATGCGATTCTCAGTTCCAAGTGAGATTATCTTTGAAGACTGAAAAACCATTCATCTGGTCATTATCTTCCCTATTTATAAAGGTAAGGGGCCGGGCGCGGTGGCTCAAGCCTGTAATCCCAGCACTTTGGGAGGCCGAGGCGGGTGGATCACAAGGTCAAGAGATCAAGACCATCCTGGTCAACATGGTGAAACCCCGTCTCTACTAAAAATACAAAAAATCAGCTGGGCATGGTGGCGCGTGCCTGTAGTCCCAGCTACTCAGGAGGCTGAGGCAGGAGAATTGCCTGAACCCAGGAGGCGGAGGTTGCGGTGAGCCGAGATCGCGCCATTGCACTCCAGCCTGGGTAACAAGAGCGAAAATCTATCTAAAAAAAAAAAAAAAAAAAAAGGTAAGGTAACTGTTACCTACTTCACTGAGGATATAATGATTTGATTTTCCAAAATACTTTGAAAGATAATAGCAATCAGTATTGGTAATATCAACTTACAAGAACTCTTATCAATTTTTTAAAAACGAAAATGAACCAGCACATTAATGTTTATTAAATCTTTCCTAGTATTTTCTGGAATCATCTAAAGTAACAATTGGATAAATCCTTCTTACAAAAGCCGATTAATCAGATAAAATATAAAAGCAATTATATACAAATATTTTCAAATATTTATTTCATTTTTTTACATCAGATAGGTAACGTGCCAGTGTCATAACAAGGTTTAAGAAAGGCACATTTCTCACATGAGCGTGAAAATCCAATCGTCACACTTATGAACTACAAAAGGATCTATATTCAAATATTTAAGTTTTGGTATGGTTAATATAAGTAAGAGTATTTAATTAATAATTAATATCCTAACTCTTATAATTAACTATTATTAGTAGCCTACATATTGAAAACATAGTTTCAGGATTTGTTCTTGTATATTTTGAAGTATTTTTCTGGATATAGGCAAAAACATAGCAAAATTTCTAAATCAATTTTCCCATAGGAAAGGTGCATTTGTCTTGTTTACCTCTGTTATCATAGCACCCGGTATAGTGCCTGACACACAGCAGATTTCATCATATACTAATTTTAAGATCAATTATAAATATACCATATAAGATTTATTATGAAGTGTGATACTGTCTCCTTTGAAATTAAAGCAGTCCTATAGTTATAGCTCTTAAAATTTGAAAGTACATTAAAAAAAAGTGTTAAGCATATGTCTGCTGCTTTTTAAGGAAAGCTTTTTAAAACTTTAGCCAAATATAGTATCATGGGATCTAAAGTGAGTACATTCAGTATCTGAGTTTTACCATACCAAAACAATGAAACACATACTTGCCACAGCTTCCTTAGCATTCTGTTCTTTGAAATGGAAGGGTATCCCTTCTAGCTAGATGTTTAGCTCAGGCCATCATTACCAATAGGTCCAAAGCAGCTGTCTGTCTTCTCCTACAAAAAAGTAAGATTTTATTATTCTAGATATAATTTAGCCTTAGTCAGGAAATTTTTTAAATTTATGCCTTAGCTTTTAATAAACAAATGTAATTTTGAAAAAAAAAGGGTATTCCTTTATCAAAACTTTAAAAGAACCATCTAAATGTCAATCCTAATATTGGTAGGAAACACAAAAACTATACATCAAAAAATTATATTTGGCCGGGCACAGTAGGAAACACAAAAACTATACATTAAAAAATTATATTTGGCCGGGCACGGTGGCTCACGCCTGTAATCCCCAGCACTTTGGGAGGCCAGTGGAGATGACCTGAGGTCAGGAGTTCCAGACCAGTCTGGCTATTATGGTGAAACCCCATCTCTAAAATAAATAAATAAATAAACATTTATATTATACAGAACAACCAAATAACTGTTAGACCATTTTCAATAAGATTTCAAAATGTGAATATATGTAGTCTGTAATGTGAAAATTGAGATGTAGAAATTGGGAGTTCTTTTAAATGAGTACACAAAGGTTATGAAGACAATTTAGTTAAACTACAAAATAGGAGTAGTTGTATATGTTTATGTGTTTGTACATAAACCTAGTGATATCTGTATCCTAATTTATTATGTTAATTAATTGGAATGGAGAGGATTATTCATGCTGACAACACAAGCCAAAAACAAGTTAAAAATAAACTAGTAGTACTCAATCCCTAAACATGGGGTTATCTACCAGAATGACTGGTGTTTACCTATGTCGTTTTGCCTGAACTACCAAATGGCTTTACAATCAGTGCACTGTGAAGCATTGACACTGTGCAATCAAATAAATAGAAAATAATTATCTGAAAATTCAATTATTGTCCAAGTATGTTGTAGTATATAACCTAGAGCAATTAAACGAATCAGAAAACTTTAATAAAGCTACAATTGCTTCTCTTACCAGAATATACATAAATAATACTTTTGAAGGGTTGAAGCGTTTTTATTGCATTATTATTATTATTGTTGTTGTTGTTGAGATGGAATCTTGCTCTGTCACCAGGCTGGAGGGCAGTGGTGCAATCTCAGCTCACTGCAACCTCCAACTCCCTGGTTCAAGCGATTCTCCTGCCTCAACCTCCCAAGTAGCTGGAATTACAGGCATGTGCCACCATGCCCAGCTAAGTTTTGTATTTTTAGAAGAGATGGGGTTTCACCGTGTTGGCCAAGATGGTCTCAATCTCCTGACCTCAGGTGATCTGCCCACCTTGACCTCCCAAAGTGCTGAGATTACAGGCATGAGCCACCGTGCCTGGCCTTTTGTTGTATTCTTTAAGCAATATACTCTGTAAACCATAATGTATGAATATTGAAGAAGATTATTTTCCCGAATACCTTATTTTTTGATTCCTGCTACTATTACATACAAGTTTATGAAGAAACCTCTCACATCAAGAAATAAATACACCAGTCCTCTAGTAAAATACCTCTAGGTTAAGTTAAAACTTAGGCTGAATAAGTACATTATTTTCATGAAAAGCAAAAGAGCATTTTCCTGGTAGGCCCAGTGCAGCATCTTGTTATCTCTGTAGCCTGGGACTCTACAATTTCATTTCCTGGTATCTCGTTGTTCGGCCACCCATTAGTCATCAATTTACAGGATGTGGACTAGAAGAGAAGACAGGAAACAGCTGCCGAAGAGGGAAAGTTATTTTCCAAAATGAATTATTAATACCATAGGAAACTGGTAACTTATTTCAATCCATTCTTAAAATCACAAAGTAATTGCAAGATGTTTTACCGAATGAGTCTCTTGAGAAGAGCTGCCAAGACATGTAAAGGCACAAGGATACCAGAGGAGCAAAAATGAGCTCATCAGTGCTTTTGAATGAAAATCCTAGTTGCCTGATGTTATTTAAGTTCCGATACTGGGATTACTTTAGAACATTTCTATCTAATTCAAAGTATTTTTCTTAATTTAGTATGAGTGAATTTCAAAAATTAAAGAGCTCATCTCAGCTATGAATATTATATAATAAAACAGAACAAGCTGTTCTGGTAGTAGATGGATTATAAAAAAAGACCAAGAGTTTGGGCTTTGAAACAGACTGGTTCAAATCCAGCACTGCCACTTACTAGCTGTGTGGCTTTAGACAAATGGCTTAGCCTATCTGTGCCTCAGCCCTGTCATCTATAAATGGTGCTAGTAATATTAATAGGATACTACTTACTTAACAGGGTTGTTGTGAGGCCTGAAATAGGTAACGAATGTAAAGTTTTTGGAGTATTTCTTGGTACTTAGAACACAATGAATGTTAGCAAAGAAATCTTTGTTTAAAATTTGCTAACTGTTGACAAATGGTAAAATACTTTAAGAATCTGGGTAACAACCAACCAATAAAATTTATTTGCCATTTCATACCTTTGAGCATATTAAATCATGCTGGAACAAGTTGGCTTCAACAGGCAGATATTAATCAATCAAATTTAACCTCTCCCCCACACACTTTTTCTGACCTTAGCTCCAGAATGAATCATTACTGTATGACATATTTGAGGGTTATTTCACAGAACTAACAAACATGTGATATAAATAATTTTATCATAGTAACAAGGAGAAATTGTTCTCTTCTCATGATCTCCCCCCTTCCCTTCCTCCCCAGTATAGCCAGGTCTAGCAAAGTTTTAATAAACTTCTTTTTAACAATATTGGATGGTAAAAGAGAATAAACGTAGAAGAAAAACACAATTATGAGTTAAGTGCTTAAAAATATCAGAACCTCCTATCTTCTTTCATTTCTCACTAAAAAACAAAAAAGGAAAAGAAAGACTTTTAGGAAGGGGAAAAATGAAGTTAGAAATCTTGAGAAATAGGAAATCACCAAAATGTGATTAAAGAGTTATTTTATTTATAATAATTAATGATAGGGCTATGACTGTTATATTTTAATTTTGTTAAGATAAATTCTGATATTTTTTTTAGTCTAAAACTAAGAACTGAAAATTAAAATCCTGCATTAAAGATGATTTATTTGGCTGAGTGCAGTGGCTCACGCCTGTAATCCCAGCATTTTGGGAGGCCAAGGTAGGAGGACTGCATGAGGCCAGGAGTTTGAGACCAGGTAGGCCAACACAGCAAGACCCCCTCTCTACAAAAAAATTTAAAAATTAGCCAGGCGTGGGTGACACATGACTGTAGTCCCAGTTACTCAAGAGGCTGAGGAGAGAGGATCGATTGAGCCCAGGAGTTTAAGGGTACAAGTGAGCCATGATCATGCCACTGCACTCCAGCCT